CCACAGCCACCCCCCCCCACTCCACCATGCCCCGCGGGCCGGCACCTGACGCTCTGCCCCGACGGTCGCGCTCTCACACTTCGTTCGCCAATATTTTTTTTCCCTGATGTTTTTTCCAGAGCATTTTTTGGCAACGTGGAGCTGTTCATTAGATTTGTGACGAGTTTCCCTTCCTTGAACCCCGCAGCGCTTGACTTGATCTCGTACGTAGCAACCACTTAATTTATCTATTTACTTGCTTAAATTTCCGTTTTTTCCTTATCATGTAATTCATAATACTAAAACAATTAGTTAATGTTGTAACCTTTGATGACTAAAGATAAGGTAATTTAAACAGCTATTTTATTGCGCTAAGGTGAAAATCCATTATATAACTGACCTAGACTATGAAAACTGCGAACTATGCTTTCATGACATATACCACAATACTTGTAGCTTATATTGAAAGATACTCTACGATATTTATTGTTCAGAAATATTATGAATACACACAAAACGTTGTTGTTATTTCAAGATACGCTACGATAACAAACGTTTAGCCAATATAATAATATAAACGCTCAAGTATTAAATGCACCTTAATATACTGCTATAAGATACGAGTATATTGATATAATATTATAAGGTAATATAGTATATTATAATATTATATTATATTACAACTTAATAACATATGCTGCGATATCAATCATTCAGCTAGCACCAGAATGTATGCCAGCACATTAGCATGTAGCACATGTAAGAACATAAATCAAAACATCGCGCATGTAGATAGCAAGCGAGTGCCATTTGCCTGGCATATGGCAAGAGTTGTGCAGTGATATTCATGCCATCTTAACGCATTAATGATCAGGGTAAGATGTTGCCATATGGCGCGGTGTTGCCACAAGGGCTCGTTGTTGCCATAAGGTAACAGTGTTGCCATAAGGGCACGGTGTTGCCATAAGGGCACGATGTTGCCAGGAGTGTTGCGAGGAGTTGCCATAAGGTCACAGTGTTGCCATAAGGGCCCGGTGTTGCCATAAAGGCACGGTGTTGCCATAAGGTCGAGGAGTTGCCATAAGGTACAACCCCACCTCGTGTACAACCCCACCACGTGTACAACCCCACCTCGTGTACAACCCCACCTCGTGTACAACCCCACCTCGTGTACAACCCCACCCCGTGTACAACCCCACCTCGTGTACAACCTCACCCCGTGTGCAACCCCAAATTTAATCACAAACATCGCGTGTGTGCGTGAAAGCAAACATCGTCGTAATGTATGGTAATGAAGTCGTCACTTCATAAATCACTTGAAGTAAAACAACATATTTTGAAATTCTAACATATTTTAATGCATCAATCCAATCTTACAGTGGGACTGCCAGCGCCAGATCGCAAAAATACATACAAAATGAATAAAAATTATACTGTAGACATTTCCCTGGACTCAAGGTATCAAGTGAGAAAAGAACATTATATTATAACATCATTTCATATTTTATAAAATATGAAAAAATGTATTTCTAATCGTGCCAGAAGAAAATCATGCTCTATTAGTTTAAAGTGGTCCACCATCGTTGAACAACAATCATTGTTGAACAACAATCATAGTTGAACAACAATCATAGTTGAACAACAATCATAGTTGAACAACAATCATAGTTGAACAAGAATCATTATTGAACAACAATCATAACTGAACAACAATCATACTTGAACAACAATCATAGTTGAACAACAATCATAGTTGAACAACAATCATAGTTGAACAACAATCATACTTGAACAACAATCATAGTTGAACAACAATCATAAACAACAATCATAGTTGAACAACAATCATAGTTTAAAAACAATCAGTGTTTAACAACAATCGTTGTTGAACAACAATCATTGTTGAACAACAATCATAGTGAACAACAATCATAGTTGAACAACAATCATAGTTGAACAAGAATCATTATTGAACAACAATCATACTTGAACAACAATAATCATAGTTGAACAACAATCATACTTGAACAACAATCATAGTTGAATAACAATCATACTTGAACAACAATCATACTTGAACAACAATCATACTTAACAACAATCATGCTTGAACAACAATCATAGTTGAACAACAATCATACTTAAACAACAATCATAGTTGAACAACAATCATAGTTTAAAAACAATCATAGTTTAAAAACAATCAGTGTTTAACTACAATCGTTGTTGAACAACAATCATTGTTGAACAACAATCATTGTTGAACAACAATCATTGTTGAACAACAATCATTGTTGAACAACAATCATAGTTGAACAACAATCAAATCCATCATCGTTGAACAACAAGATTGAACAACATTATTTACGCCGCCAAAACTTCACAAATGTATTAACTGTAGTGTAATACAACGGTTACTTTTGAAAGAGTCTTTGAAGAGAAGATATTAAAAAGCGGATACCGTTTGAGGCCGGAAAGTTGACAACAAAGAACGGAAAGAAGCCAAGCCCAGAGCGGAACAGCTAACAATGAAGCTTGGAAGTTTTTCTCGGTAATTATCAAAGAAAAGATAGTTTGTTGGGCGTTGGTGAACCTAGAGCACCTGAACCTGAGGAAGCGAAGCGTTACAACTTGTATATTAAGCGAGAAATAGACTACATAACATCCCATGACGGAGCAAGACTCCCCTGAGGTCCCATCAAAACACCATAATCAAGTCTATGCTCATTCCTCTCCTGCCTGGGAGAAAGCAGCAGACTTTCTACACTTCAACTTGAAACCAACTACTGGCGAATGAAAGCGGCAATCTAAAAAATTAGTCCAAAGCAAATTAAATAATTCGGGGTAATTGTAAATGTTAAGCATCTTGTGGAAAGAATAAGTTGCCAGTTTTCGAATAACGGATGGTTGTTAACTTTTATCTTTGGAATTCTTCTATGCAGTTGAAAAGTTTCGGGAGGGATGATCAACGGTTTTGAACTCTGAGGTCGGTGGAGGTGAAATGAAAAGACTTTAATAGAAATTCTGATATTTATCGTGCAAAATATTCTGAAGCATCTTTGCTGTGATAGTTGCACCAAATTAAAAGTTATAGCATCGACATCAGCGGCCGACTTCCGGCTAAACGCAGTACACTGACAACCCTGCCAAAAAAACTTCTTGGTTTGCAAGGTGCACCCAATCACAAGTTAATTGCCGCGTGCTAAACACCTGTCCGCCCAGGTCATGGTCCATGACCACTTGTCCTTGATAATTGGCACACGAGTTTCCGCTTTTCAGGATTCCATCACGGTAAATTTCGAAGGACCTTTCCGGTTCTTTGTCACGCCTCAACCATCCTTAGACCTGGTGACAAATAAACCCACCAAAAAAGCTTGTTTAGATAACAAAACTCAGTCATTATTGAAATCTTGCAAGCGAGTATCATTCGTTGAATACGTGGGCAACAGGTCACATGGGATTAGGAACGTAGCATCAACAGCTACTCGATAGTCACCTAAATCGCTTCAAAATATTGAGCATGGATACATTGGAATTTTTTGGTAATAGGCCGGGAAAAAGAATGGAAGTCGTTCCTTTGCTTTTTGAGGCGGTGGCGTTAACTTGAGTGAGCGAGGAGCAGGCGCCTGAGGCGTTTACCCGATCAAAGCAAGGGGAACAGACGCCTGAGGCGGAGGCGTTAACTCGAAAGGGAAACAGACGCCTGAGGCGGAGGCGTTAACTTGAACAAGAGGAGCAAGCACCTGGGGCGTTTACCCGATCAAAGCAAGGGGAACAGACGCTTGAGGCGGAGGCGTTAACTCGAAAGGGAAACAGACGCCTGAGGCGGAGGCGTTAACTTGAACAAGAGGAGCAGGCACCTGAGGCGTTTACCCGATCAAAGCAAGGGGAACAGACGCCTGAGGCGGAGGCGTTAACTCGAACAAGAGGAGCAGGCGCCTGAGGCGTTTACCCGATCAAAGCAAGGGGAACAGGCGCCTGAGGCGGAGGCATTAACTCGAACAAGAGGAGCAGGCGCCTGAGGCGTTTACCCGATCAAAGCAAGGGGAACAGACGCCTGAGGCGGAGGCGTTAACCCGAACAAGAGGAGCAGCAGCCTGAGGCGGAGGCGTTTGCTAAGTGAGAGGAGCAAATGCCTAAGGCGGAGGCGTTTACTCGAGCAAAGCATGAGGAGCAGACGCCTGAGGCGGAGGCGTTGCTGTGAGGCTGGAAGGCTCAGGTCACGCGTTGCTGTTCAGAGGCCGCGACGCACTGACGACTTACGGCCTGAGCTACGCGACCTGCCGCGCCGCGTAACGAGAGACTCG